GCGGGCTTGAGCCAAAAAGCACTCACACAAACACAAGTTACCCACACTACTTTTGGGGCAGTTCCTTTTGGGGCACTAGGGTGTGGAAGCCAAAGTGGGAATAGGTTTGAACAAGGCACATCACTTGAATTGTTTCTGTTGGCAACCAGGTTTCACCAAACACTGTGGCTACTTCAGACCTCATGGCATGCTATGGAGTGACAAGCACAGTCCCACCAAACCAGTCCTTGCCCAAGCATTTTTCCTGCTTTGTCGAGAAGTTTGTGAAAAGGGGGCATGCCCTTTTGTCAAGGCAAGCTTCTAGGCATTGGGCAAGGCAAGAATCCTTTTTGTCAAAGGACAAATGTGCCTTTTGAAAAACTTGGCCCCTGCTTCTTTTGTCAAGAACAGTGCAAAAACACATTTTGTCAAGGATCTTTGTGAACCACCTACCAGGTTTTATACAAGTGGTCCTTCAGTTCAACTGCTTCTTGTTTTGTCAAATGCTCTGCTTGCAGCCTCTTTAAGATCTCCTGCATAATGTCCACATAGGATGGGTGGCCTGCTTTAGTTGTTTGGACAATGTGCATGACTTTCCCATCAGGGTCATGGGCCCCACATATGTAAGCCCTGTAGGGCTCTTTGTTGGTGACAGTCTTCGTCAGCTTAGCCCATGGCTTTCTTGTAGGCTCTGTTGGTGTTGCTTTTGCCTTCTTTTCTGAGCAGCCTTTTGTCAAGGACACCCCTTTTGTCAAGGAGCCAGCCTTCTTAACCTTCTTTTTGTTGGAGGCTGGCCTCTTTGCCCAATTCTTTCCTCAAGCCTGTTGGCTTTTCACCCTTGCTACTGGCTGCCACAGCTTGCCCTGGTCTTCTTCTCAGGAAAGACTTGATTGGGGGGCATGATGCCTTTGGTGTTTCCTCTTCATGGCTGCCCTTAGCTTCAGGAGTCCCAAAGCACTTTGGAATACCAGAGCTGTCCACACTCACATCACTTATGTGCTTCTTCAGCTTCTTCTTTGGCTCCCCTGAAGCAGGCTCCCTTTTGTCAAGGGGCTCCCTTTTGTCAAGAGGCTCCCTTGGGGCAAGAGGCTCCCTTTCGTCAAGAGGCTCCCTTGGGTCAAGAGGCTCCCTTTGGTCAAGGGGCAGGGTTTCTTCATGCTGTTGCAACTGTGGCTTTTTGATGATCTGGCCCACAACTGCTCTCAGCTGCAGATAATCAGGCCCAGTAAGCTTCGCAGCACAAGATTTCAAGTCAGAAGCAGCTAGCCTCCTCATGTGGTATAGCAGCACCCCAATTCTTTCCACCCTCAGCCCCACCCAAACACTGCCAGAAAACTTGGTGTCATTGAGAGAGGGCTCCTTCAACAGTACCTGAAAAATGGAATTTCTCAAGCACTGGCTGTGTATTTCTGCTTGGGGCTCCAACTCCAGCAGCCCTTTTGTCAAGGACAACAGCTTGAATAACCCCTTGGGGTTCACAGCTTGGCTCTTTGATATGTGTTCATACACACCAAAGTCTTGCAGCAGGTCTTGGTGAAGGCTGAATACTTTCAGCAGCAAGCCTTCATCCACTTGTGGCTTTATTGTATGCCTGGGCCCGCCTCTATTGTCCAGATGCTTGGGCATTGCCTTTTGTCAAGGAGGACACCCTTTTGTCAAGGCGTTCTTTTGTCAAGAACACTTCTTTCGCCAAGAATGGGTCCAAGCTCGATGCTTGAGCCTAAAGGGTTGCATCTGCAGCACCTGCGTTGAAAGCAAGAAATGTAAAATCAATATCCAAATCAATATTCAAATCAATATTTGGAAGCAAAAAACACAGCTAACAAAGGTCCGACAAAACATATTAGAAAAATCAATAAAAACGATGCAAATCAATATCAATAAATTATAGTACTTTCAGATTGATTAGAATCAATACCCGATGCCCAGGGTCATCGTGCATCCTCTGCATCTCCAATCGGGTCTAACGGGACTTTTGAATCGTATATGAATAACATAAAGAGCCGTCGCTCATCATCGTCGATGATAACCATCATCGTGCATCCTCTGCATCACCAACAGTCATGATGATAATGATGACTACGCATCCTCTGCATCTCCAATCAGGTCACAACGATTATAATGTGATGATGATGACCATGTCATCATCACCATGATGGTGGTCATTATCGTCATCATCATCATCATCGTCATCATCATCGTCGTCATCATCGTCATCATCATCGTCATCACTACGCATCCTCTGCATCTCCAACCGGGTCTAACAGCACGCTTGAAACGTATATGACACAGATCTGATCAGATAGGAGAAAGATAAGGATGACAACGATAATAGTAGCTCGGAAAATAACTATCATCGTAGCATCCTCTGCATCACCAATGCTTTCTAACCCCACACTTGAAAGGTGTAGAAAGACACATCTTTGAGGTGCAAAGGATGCTACGATGACGGTATTGCTTACGCTGATAATGTTGAATCTTCGGATATGCTCATTTACCAACCCACCTTGGACTTGTGCTGTAACCACCCTTCCCGTGCGCCTCCCCCTTTCAGGAGAAGGGGTCGGCGGATATATGTTCATACGTAAAATGCAAACACCAATTTATTGACAGGTTTTCAGCACCTTACGTTTGTCCGTGCTCCAACATGTTGCCGATGACCCAAAGCATTGCGTCCGTTTCTGCATAAAAGGTGCGACGGTGTACGCCTTGCTCTCATGTTTCAGGCGCCTAAAACAGCTCCGACACGTCATGGGTGTTTTGTTTTTTTTTTTTTTCGGCGGGTGATTTTTTTTGATTTTAAAGGGGACGCCCACCATTTTGGGGGTTCCGTCAAACAGGACACACCCAAATGATTCTAGATGTAACGCCATCCCCATTTGATACCAGCAGAAATTACCCATTTCTCTCGGAGTGAGGGGTGGGGAAGGCGAGTTGTCGAGTTGAAGCCTCAGGTTTAGCCTGGGAAGAGGCGGAGAAGGCCTGACTTGTGGCCTTCGCCAGAGGGAAACGACCAGCCCATCGATATGATCTGGGCGCATCTGTTAAAATCGGCCGTATGTTTGCATCCAGTCGATGTTATGAAAATTACCTAGGTGTTTGTATCAAGATTCGGCCTCGTTGATGAGTTTCAGCGTAGCGGTCGCAGCAGCTGGCTGCGGCGACTTCGGCCCTGTGATGTACGGGCCCACTTCGAAATATCTTTTAAGGGGGGCCAGTTGTGCCACCCCAGACCTCTTCTGTTGTGGGAGCCATCAAGTATTCATGTCGTATGGAACAAGCCTCCAGTGTTTGGAGCTGCCATCCCCCCCGATTTTCAGGGCACTGCCCGAGTTTTCGCCGTCTTGGATGGCCGGCGTCACGCGGCGCGAGGCACGCGAACGGAGGACGCCTTGGGCGGTGGAAAAGAAATCCGCGCAGAAGTCAAAGGCCCAAACTTGGAGCCACTGATTTGGGTCTGAATTTGAATGGGCCTGAACTGATCAAAATTCGCTGGGAATGCATGTCCATCAACCACTTTGGGGTGGGTGCGACTAAAACTTCACAGCCCTGCCAGAAGCAGGACTGTATTGAGCCAGTCTATGCATCTCAGGGAGGTCCGACGTGTTTGGGTCCAAGTCTGGGTCTGTTTTGTCGGGTAGTTCACACTTGGGACGCCTCGATTGCTCGGCAATAGATCGACTTTCAAGCCGTCAAGCAGCTGCAAGTCGCGGATTAGATCTTGCATTGTTTTTCTGGCGGCTTGGCTTTTCCGAGAAAGTGGCTGGTGAGTGCCTGGAAGCTATCGACTGTCACACGAAAAGTTCTGTGGACCTTCAGTTGTTTCATTTAACAATGAACTACAGCTAGGTGGGCTTCCTGAATATTTGTGCAAACCAGGAGGTCGCTGAGTTGACCAGTTTTCGCAAGTGGAGCGGTTCGTCGTAGGTTCTAGCGTCAAACAAAAATATCCTCGCACCTTGGCAGCTGTGAGACTGCCGGGTCCTTCCATTACGGGGGGCTCATGTTCCGAGAATCGCATATTGTTGGAGTAAACTTGGGGATGGCAGGCTGCGGAACTCTTGGGACGCAAATCTGCGGGTTTTACTGCCATTGGTTTGGGGGGTAGTTCCTCCAGCTACCCAGACATGCCCTGCAGTTCCCGCAGTCCATGAAGTCCATGAAACATGCATGGAACCGGCTAAACACCTATGACACCCTTTCGATCACCCTTTTACCGTGTGAGCCTTCAAGGTGCGGGGCGCGATGCAATGCCCAGGGAGTTCTCTGAGACAGAGGAACAAAGCCTGAAACTGCGGCCTTTGGTTTCATGAGGTACATCTGAAACAACCCCGAAAACACAAGAACCCCTGTTTCAGTTTATGTTTTTGTGCTTTGTTTGCGGGGGGGGGGGGAATTCTTTTTTTCTTCCCCCTAGCCCTGGTCCCCCCTTAGCCCTGCTTGGTTGGTTGGTTGGTTGGTTGGCTGGCTGGCTCACTTGGACCTGGGGTTGCCTATTGGCTCTGATTGGGTGGCAGTTGGGAGTTGCTGGGGGGGGGGGGGTTGGCTGGCTTAGATCTTCATGAGGGTGGGTCTTGGGGTGGTTTGGGGTTGATTTAGGCGAAGCGAAGGGCTGACATCCAGGCTGCTGTTGGGCGGGTTTAGGGTTGACTTTGAGTGGGGTTTGGGGTGGCTTGGAGCTGAGCCACCCCAAACCCACTCAAAGTCAACCCTAAACCCGCCCAACAGCAGCCTGGATGTCAGCCCTTCGCTTCGCCTAAATCAACCCCAAACCACCCCAAGACCCACCCTCATGAAGATCTAGGCAACCCCAGGTCCAAGTGATGTTGGTGATGCCGGGGATGCGGCCAGCCAGCCAACCAACCAACCAACCAACCAACCAACCCACCAATCACAGCCAGGGTTAGGAATAAACCAGGGTTAGTAAAAAACAAAAAACACCTCCACCGGGGGGGGGGGGGGGTGTGAAGTCGGTCGGGTTCGACCGCCACGGGTTCAACGGTTCCTTTCTCATGGCCCAGGCATGCCTTCAAGGCCTCAGACCGGGAGCTGGGCCAGCTCCCGGCCGGGAGGCTCGGGATGCAGATCGCCGTGCGGGGTAATTACCCTTTTCGCCTTTTGACGTCCTTTCTTGTTTCCGGGCTGTTTGGTGGGGGTATTTATTTTTTTTGTTTTCTTCTTCGGCTGTTTGGTTTCAAAAGCCGTGTCGTCCTGTGGAGATGGCCATGTCTCTGTACGAAGCGACACGGCGGAACGACGGTTCTTCGGGTCAAACGTTGCCATTTTTGTTTCTCCGCTCAACGGCACGAACATGCATCCTCCGGAAGTCCTGGAAAAAGGTTGCTGAATGTTTCTAGGGTTAAAGGATTATTGGGCTTCATGGCTGCGAGTCCGAGGTCTTGTTTTCCACAGCATAAATGGCGACCTGATACAAAGATGTGTCTCCCTCTATGTCCAATTTGGCCATCTATATGTATTTGGCTCTTCCTTTCATGGGCAAATATGGCTACTAAATATCTATACAGCAATTCTCAGGGGCTAGTCTCCTCAGGTGATTTGTTTAACACTGCCCGCCATTCTAATGACTTATTCTGCTAGGACTCCCCAGTCGATGCAACGACCCCACGTTCCGAGGCGGCCTTGGTGCTACTCCTGGAGATCATTTCGCCGGGGCACCCCAGAGAGTGGGAAGCTCTGGATGTGCTTCACTCATAGACGGATCACTCCACTGCAATCGTCAACAATGACAGGCTCTTCTCCAGGCATCCAAAGAAATCCCTACCCTTACTCGGCACATTTCTTACCAACGGAGAGAACGGATGGGGACTCCTCCATGACGTAGGGCAAGATGTCTTCTTGGAGGTGCCAACTTGTTGGAGGATGTGAAAGAGAAACCAAATAGAAACCAACGACTCTTTATTTTGTTTGGGGGGGGGGGAGGGAGGGGGAGAGGGGTGAGGTTCTATTTTAATCTACGGCTATCTAGCGGGCCCAGCGTCTGCCTTGCACGCAAAGGGAAGGCGTTGTGCATTCCGGACAAGAAAGGTAAATATAATGTTTGGCGCACCGTATTTGTTGTTCGGCCGTTTGTCTGCTTTTTTCCAGCAGTCTGACCGCCTGGTTGTTCTTTGCTTTCATGATTTGTCCAATCTCACATATTGAGTTTTGATGTGATCATCCAAGTATTCTCCAAAAAACACCAACCATCCAAACGATGGCTTCACAATTCGCAAGGGGGGTGATGGCCATAACTCGCCTTTATGTTGGCTGAGGCTCTAGAATCTGCTCAACATTGTAACATCCATCGTTCTTTTCGCGGGAAGTGGATAACTGGCACTAGAGGCCCTCAGATCTTTTTCCGCTCTCAGCCAGGCAGGAGCAAGCGACCAGCTCCCGGCTTTTGCGCGCTTGCGTGAAGGCGGGAATCCGCGGCGGGAACCCGAAAACTCGGAGAGGCGCCAGGAGCCTCCTCCGGAGTTGCGGGCCAGTTGGGTGTGTGTTTTGTGCGGATCCCCCCCTCCCCCAAAAATAATATATAAATATGGTGTTTCCTTCTCCCCGAATTCTGGGAAACTTCATGTGTTTGGGCCCTGTGGAACTGTGCAACGTGTGTTTCAACCACTCTGGAATCATTTTCCGGGCAACCCCAACAGCTGCTTTGTAGGTCACTCTATTTGTTGAACTTATCTTAGATCTTGCTCTCCGGCCCCAAACCCGTCGACTATGACTTTGGCTCTCCCAATATTGGGTTTATAAAAGGTCTGCATGGGCCTTTCCATGGCCGCCATGAACTAGGGAGTGGAACCAACGACGAAACTGCCGATTTTTCTCCATTCCAGGTGGTTTCCTCGGGGTTTTCCTGCAACGGCGGAGGCTTTGGGCTGTACCTTGGTAGCCCTCACGCCCGGAGTCTCAGGCGCTTCTCCGATGGGAAGGCTCAAGCAACCAGCCGAGTATCGGCTGGTTACGAGCCCCTTTCCACTTTTGTTTTGGAGGGGGGTTCCCTGAAGAGGTTTCCCTTCCAGTTTTGTTTATGGGAGGAATTTCCCTTTGAAATAAACTACCCAAGAAAGAATGCCCCCTAGTTTCCCCATGGCCATTGGGGGGTTGGGGGAAGTAAACGACCTTGGGGCGGGGTGAAAACACGAGACACCCTCCCAACCTCCAGGATGGAACCAATCAAAATGTGGTTTCAGCCGCGAATCTGTTGAAGGGACCTTGGAATGGGTTCCATGTTCGTGGGAGGGTTTGGCAAAGGCAAAAGCAGCAAAAGTAACCACCCCCTCGCCAGGGTGGTGGGTGTACAAGGTTGCGCGACAAACAACAAGCTGATTCCTTGATATCCCCCAATGCGCGGTTCAAGATCATTTGGAACATGAAGTCAGCACTTTGAACGACTTAGCCCTCGGGGCAGTTTCGCTGACACCTGTGTATAGGGATTGAGCATGATTCGCGTGGTGGGGCGATGTAACCAATCCAAGTAAGCAATCAAAGCGAAAAAGCAAAGCGATCCAAACCAAGCAGCAGCCAAGCAAATCCACGAGTGAAGTATGCCCGAGGCCGCACGCTCCACCGGGCCACGTGCCGGAGGTGGACCGAGGCGTTCAGGCGGGCATGGGTTGGACAATGTGAGACCACCATTAACCCGTATATGAAATGTAGGTGTATGTATATATATATATATATGATTATGTATATACATATGTGTGCGTGTGCTCTTTAGGGTATGTATATATATATATATACACATCTGTGTGCGTGTGTTCTTTAGGGTACCCCTTTGTGGGTGGTTTCAAAGGACAATAACCATTGTGGGGGTCCTTTCACCCATATACTTATACCCACCGTCGAAGAAGTGGACAAGGGCTAGATGATCAAGCCAGTTTTATCTAAATTGGGTCAACCATATTGCATGAGCTTCAGTCAATAATTTCAGTTTGCGGTCATTGAGGGACAATTCAGTCTGCGGTCCATTGAGGGACATAGACAAGACCTGGTCTTTTCCCGTACTCGTGGGGAAACAAGTCATCTTGACCGGTTCGTCCAAGAAAAAAGAAGAAGAAGAAAAAACGGGGTTTCCCTTTCAAACCAAGGTGGAAAAGGGTACCAACTCAAAAACAAGCACACCACTTACAAGCCCCCCTCGCAGTAAAGCGCAAATCTTTCGTTGAATCACCGCATGTTTGCCAGGTACGTGTGGTGGCTTGAGGCTGAAACACTGGTTTGGGTGGGGTCAAAGGGACACCAAAAGGACGCCCGAAGCCATTTTGGGTGCTGCGGGCAGCGGGGTTTGGGTTTCCGCCAGGCCCTGATTGCCCAGCTGTTGCGGCAGACCGGCGTGAACGCCTTTAGCCTCAGCCGGGGGGGACCGTGACTCGCAGTTCCCTGAAACGTGGGTTATCACTCCCAAGACTTGTGGGGTGTTTTAGTTCCCGTTGTTGTGGGCAGTTTGAGGGGGCCCGGGTAGATCCTGCAAGGGATGCAGATCTCAGCTCAGGGTTTGATGCTATGTGATTAAAGTTGCAGATGAATATGTTGACGTTTCTCCCATACCCGGGGACTGAGCAATATGGGTTTCAGCAAAGCCCGGGAGCTCTGAAACGGACGCCCCAAGAACACGCAAACTCCCCCGAAGCCTTTCGATCACTTCGCCGCTTCGGGTGGGATGCAGGGCTTCGAGTTCTTACCCAAACTAGGTCCCCCAGCTCAGTAGGTGCCCTTTTGCCAACTCTTTTTGGGGAGGGTTCCCCTACTAAAATAGACTACAGAAAAATGTTGGTACCCTTATTCTAACCTCTCTACTGGAGGACCTAGCCAAAGACGGGATGAGTTACAGAGGTTGCGAACTCCATTTCGCACCACCTAAGAAACTATGGTTGAACACCACCATCGTTTGTAGGTATTTGCGTTTTTTTGGAATCGAATCATACCAGGGTTTCCTAGGTGGTGCGAGCGGATTGCGTCCTACTCAGTATGGTTTGGGATGCTGGGTTCATGTCTTTATTCGGGGAGAGGACCTCCAGTTTTGGTTCCAGCCAGGCCCCGCACTTTCTTCCAAGATGTGTTCCCTTGGAGCTAGAGGTGAAACCATCTGCTTGAACTCATGGCTGGCGAACTGTTGCCTGTCTTTTGGTTGGGTAGTGGTCCGGCCCATTTTACGGGTTCTGATTGCTGAAGCATGTAGCGTCCGAAAGAAACCCATTTCTTCGAACCCACTTAGCTCGTGTCACCCAAAGTGGCTGGATGGATTCGCCTGTTCTGAGCCTAGGCTCCTAGCGCGGATGAGGAGGCTGGCTCGCGGCTGGCGAGCACAGCGATAAAGGGGAACTGGTGCGGGGAGGCATCAGGAATCCAAACCAAACAGCATTGCATAGTCTGACAAGTTGCGCAGGCCTCTCTGGATTTCATGTGAATGATTGTAGGTTTTGGCCGCCTGCAAAGAAAACTGATCAGAACAGAAGCGGGCTTCCGGACCAATCAACGACTTTCAGCACGTTGAGCACAGCTGCGCGCCCTCCGCGCACTCCTGAAAGCAGCACGGCAGTGGTTCAAGAGGCAGCAGTGCAGGCTCTACGTATGAGGATTTGAGATTTGTGTTGGAGAAGAGGCTTTGCTAAGACTTCAAACAAGGGAGAACATGAGTCTTTGGTCAAGTCACCGGCCCTCGCAAAGCCGAAACTGCTGTGCTCTTCGCTGTGGCAATGGGAGGGGACCCCAAAGACGAACGAGGGACGAACGAGGGACGAACGAGGAGCATGGATGAGTTTTGACCAGCCGGACTTAGAGGAACTCAGAAAGGAGGGAAAGCGCGTTCTTGATTTCATCTTGGCTGACTGCTTGGAAAGGCAAGTCGGCGAGCCACGTTCGCCGGCATCAGTGGACAAAGTTTGGCAAGAGTTTGACAATTTAAGAAACGGAGGCAGTTACTTCTTTTACTATACTGGACATGGCTTTGAGGTGAATAAGGAGTTCTGTTTCATTCCTGGATGTTCGGAAACCACACAGTTGTGTGATGCTTGACCAAGTTGTGGAGAGATTGAGGCGTTTCTACGGTTGCACTACTCATTTATTTGCCTCAACGCTTGTCGCGGTAGCCTCCGCTTGGCGAGTTTGTAGCGAAGCAACCACTTCTTAGATACCAAAGGAAAGAGCACTGAACTGAAGTCCTACTCAATCTCCATTGCCCTGGAGCGCAAGGACTCTGAGATCTATGAAGAGAAGCAGCATGAGACTCTTCTTGCTCTCTTGCATGGAATCAGCAAGAGACGGAAGCTGGCCCCCTGAAACGTGCTGGGAGCAGAGGAGGTGGTGCAAGATCCGGAACAAGCACAGCTTGGGCCAGGTTCCAAGTTCGAATGGTGCCACCTAGCAGAAGAGAGCTTCTCTTTGAAGATCGAACTTTTGTCAAGCGGCCAGGGCTCGGCAGTTTGACGCGAACAAGTTGGAAGAATGGGGCTACGCCTTTGGTCCAAGTGAGAGTCATGTGAAGCGCAAAGATGCATTTTGTCATGGATACAACGTGCCTGATAAACCAATCATGGATGCTGTAGACTCTTTGTTGAACCAGCGAAGCTGAAGACCGCAGTTCTTGGCAAAATGCTCAGCGCAATGCTCGGATGCTTCCCCAGCTGGAAAGCTCTGTGGCCGAGGGGATTGAAGGAAGTGGCAGGGAATCTCGGAATCCCTGAATGTACTTAAAGGCTTCCAACCCTCAAGTTTCCCTTACCAAGCTTTTATCACTCAGCCCCCTCCAGCCGCTTTTTTCCCATGTGCATTCGGCGAGCTTGGCCAGGACAGCTGGTGGAGAGATGGCGACGGCTATTCGCTGGGCTCCCGTTCGTTTTCCAGTTTGCCGCGTGTTGAAACGGACACAGCCCAGAACGAGGGCTCGCAGGTCGCGGGTTCCGTACTGGAAATGAACCATGGAAACCGTAGAGGGTCTGTCGGGCTGGAGGATTCCTGAAACACAGAAGGGGTTATCCTAATTGGGTTCTGGAAGACAATTTTTCAGCTAGAAGGAAGCCTTTGGTGGGTTCAATGCTAGTGGGCGGGAGTGCAGATCCGAAGCTGGCCATGTTTTCACCAGGAGATGCAACCACGTAGATATGATTTTAAACTTGGCCTACGCATCCGTTGAAGAAGCCTGATTTTGTGCAGGGCTCGTTGTGGACACTTGGAATGTTTACCATCGTCGCTGAGTGGCCAAAGGAGTCCCACTTTGAAGTGACAGATCAATGCGCATGAGCATCCCACTTGAGGTTCGACTGCCGGGTGGAAAGAAGAGTTGGGGCGCCTTACGATGTCTAGGTCTTAACGAATTGAGAGCCTTTTACCAACCGCGTAATTCTTGGCCCTATTTGTCGTATGGTGAATGAACAGCAAAAAAGGGGGACAGTCAACACCAGCCCGACCAAACTTGGAAGATCCAAACCCTGGAAACCGGGCCGTGGGGATGGCCATTCGGGCTGCTTCGGCCATTCAGCGTGTGAAGGTCGGCAAGGCGATCCTTGGCGCACGCACACGCACTCACTTGCTTCATCTCATGCGCCAATCAACGGAAAGTCGGGTACGGACAGCTTAGAACTGGGACTTCGCCGCAAATAGGTGCAACAAAAACGGTTTTGTCAAGTCTTATCCATGTGTTTTTGGGTAGACTCCTATCCTTCAGACTCCGAAACTGCTTTTTGTCTGGCAGGTTTGAGTGACACACAGGTATATGCCTATAGCGGTGTGCCCAAGCCGTCATTTCCCTCAGAAAGTTGGATGCACTAGGGCTTTACTAGGGGTCCTTTTCACCCCCAGGACCAAATCCTGCAGTTGCCATAGATAAGCCTTTGTGAATACTCGGAGAGGCTCGAATGCCAACTCTTGCCGATCGATTCGCGCGCAATTTGTCCAGTATTTCAATGATTTCAACCCCAAAAACGGCCGCCGCCGCTTGCGGCCGTTTCGCCTTCGGCTCCCGTTGGCGAGCTGAGTGCGTGCCGGTGCCAGGCGCGGCGAAAAATCGGTCGAAGCGCTGGGTCCTTTAAACCCGCTTTTTTGAGGTGACTGCGCAAGCCAACCAGAGATTTGTTTCGATGTCACTTTCATCCCAAGAGCAAAAACCAACCTATGGCCCCGGCAGTCCTATGGCCCCGATGCTTGAAATTGGGCTTGGCAACTTGCGTTGCAACCATTTCAGGCGAAGGCCTCAGCGACTTTCTGAAGCGGGCTGAGCCGGGACTTGACTTTGGCTTGCAAGTCAAATATGAAATTTATTCAACTGGTACTCGGTGCTCAGTTTTGTTGGGAGGAACAACAAATTCACTTCTCCCAGAAAACCAGTTGGCAACACTCTGGCTTTCCCATGTCCATTTCGGCTGCACGTGAGATGGTGCTTGTGCCACGTGCGATGCGGTTTGAAGGCCCTGGTGCAACCCTCGGATCGATGTCTGCTCTGGCGGCCAATGGGACGCCGCCTCAGACGGATGCGATGCCTAGAGGTAAAGTGAGAGGCTTTCATGTGTCTCTGCTTTGGTGCTTGGTCCAGGGTCTAAAGTTAGTCTAAAGGGGCAAATGAAAGGCTTTCGTGGGTCTCTGCTTTGGTGTTTGGTCCCTCCAGGTGTTTGTGTTGGGGGGGGGGAAGAAGGCTGGTCTTTTTCTGCTGTTTTGTGCTGGTTGGAGCCAAGAGAGGAAGAGAACAACGGTGGGATTTCCATCCCCTGTCGAGTGTTGAAACTGGGATCCGCCTTTTACATAGTGGAAATGAGTTGTTGAAAGTGCTCATGTTTGACACATGTGGGGTGACCAATGTTGGGAATTAGAAATAACCAGGGTCATCCATTGGCACGTTTTTTTCTGCTACGTGTTTTTTCTGCCCCGTCCAAATGATGCATGCCAGGCGTTCCAATATGTGCCCGTTTCCTCAAAAAGTGTTCGAGGGAGGTTATGTAACACGTATACATACAGCACCGGCCACAGCGTGCACCTGGACAAGAGCTTCGTGACTTTCTCCAGCCTCCCCGCGGCAAAGTCAGGCCCTCAGCTGGTGCCTTTAAGCAGCCAAACCCCGATTAATGAAGTACCTTTGGTACCGCATTAAGCATCGGCTCATCACGCGACTAGCTGCCAACTGCCTTGCATTGATTCGGCGGTGCAATCGGGACACCTGCCCAACAAAATCTTCATCAGACCAGCACGCCCAACCTGACAAGCTCAATCGGCTTAAGCACCAGGCAGAAGCAACACCAAATGAGTGCAGCCGAAGGCACTGCATACGTTGAACACTGGTGATGTGGGACTACTCTTTATCTGATCTTCCATCGATTTCCTTAACTGCAAGGAGTTTTAGTTTCTAGCAGCAGCACAAAAACTTAATGCTGTTGATGCCTTCTAATCTTCTAACGCGCTATTCGCTAAACCAAGCCAAGCATCACCAAGTGGGCATGCAGATGGATCTTTGGGCGTAGCCGGCACAAGCGCCATTTAAACTGACAGAACAGGCTAGCAAGGCCCGTGTACCCTTCCTAAGACAGCACACGCGATCTCAACTCGCACACACACATCTGCTAGCATAATACACCAAACATTGCACCAATCGTAGGCCAAGCTTCCAACATAAACCACCCCAATTTGGTAGCCTCCTCCGCAACGTCATAGGAAATCCAGATCCCCTGGTGGTAAAGCAAATGGAAAAACCGGTTGGTCACACAAAGGGTCCAGTGAAGAAGGGTCAGCACATCAGTGTGCTCATCAGCCTTGGGTAACATACACAATCACACTCGCAATCAGCAACCACATTCAATAGCCAAACATAATGCAAACTAGGGGCCACAGTTGCAGCACTCAACTCACTCTCCATCCACTTACAAATATGAGCCGTGTCGTGAGCTCGGGGACCAGCACGTGGAAACTCGCGCAACCTAAGATTCCCCACAAAGCGATATTGAAACACCATGCTGGTTTGTATGGCACACAAAAAATCACTCAAGCAGCGATTTGATTTTGAACTTCCGCAGGTCAAAACCTTTTCTTGACATTGACTTCCCGTGAGTGCTGCAGTAGGCATCCAATCGCTCCCAAGCAAGATCAAGGCGGACTTGGATGGACCTCCCTTGGAAGATGTTCATGTGACATGCTGCAAGCACTGCGGCGCCGGCCAGTTCACCACCAAAACCCAAATTGAACACATGCAGAAAGTCAGGCTTGATGACAAAGGCAGAGTCTGCTCCAGGGATAGCGCGTAGGGGTGACGCTACACCTTTCTTGAAAGGATCTGGTATCTCCCCACACCAATTGCGTACTTGACTGTTCTCAGAGAAGTTCCACCACTCCTAAGTGAGGTTCAAGTTGGCAAACATCAAGCTCAGGGTCAGGCATATAGCTGCGGTGGTAAACCTAGAGGCCTTGCAAAGGGTCTATTTGTTTGGCAAAGCCAAAACTCGGACTAGGGTGCTGCAAAGCTGCATCACCGGGACACAGGTGGCAAATGGAGGATGACCGAAATCCAACTTTTAGGCACATCGATTTGCGAAGCCAGGGCCAATCCCCTTTTATGGCAGTCAGGACCATGTAGAACTGGACCTTCCGGTCATCAACCTGAAGCAAATGGGACACATACCCAAACGGCAAGTTCTTTTCCAAGATGCAAACAAGAAGCTTCAACGGTCACACCAGAAGTGAATAGCTGGGTGAGGTCTGTAGCCAGCGCCGTGTGAAGGGCAAGGAGTGAAGCATCGTTCTTGGCGTACCAGCTGTTTGGCAGCAGGGTGTACAGCAGCCTTGTTGTGAATGAATGCCTCAGATGTTCAGAAAGCAGGCCCCCTAGCATGAGCAGGGCATATGTTTAAGAACCAAGCTGCTGGGCGCTGTTGAGGCAATCTGGCCCAGTGTATGGAATCACTACCTGAAACGCTGTAACAAGCAATGGATCTTTGGCGGCCCCACGGCCCTCATCTCCATGATACGCACAGGGTATGCAAAACTTCCTTTGTTCCGGCGACTTGGCCTGGTAGATGACATGCGAAGGGTCATAGGAGCGAAAGTTGCACCAAAACTCTTGGAACATGGCCGTGTAGGCATCGATATCGTGAAGGTCGTGCCCTCCCAGCATAAACTTGGGATAGTTGGTCAGGAGGCATTTTGCCCAACTTGACAAATGCATCACGGGGTGGTCCACTATGAGTAGGTGGAAGCGTTTCTTACCATCAGCTTTGGCACGCTTCCGGGCTCTGATCGGTGTTGCAACAGTTGACAACTGCACTGGTAAGGCCTTCAGTTCCCTGTGAACAAAGCGATGAAAGTCCCGCGCCGCATTTGGCCCTTTCTTTCCGGTGGATGACCTCCTGTAGCGAGCCAGCTTCTCCAAGCCAGGGTCCATGACACCTTCAAGGGGGGCGGGAAAGGTGATTACAACCAAGTACAAATCGGACCCAACCCAAGCGCCTAGTTTTCTCATCCGGTTTGAGGCCACGGATGAAAGCCAGATTGCGCCCTTTGCAGTGATGGCCTGGATGAAGCCATGCAATCAAATTTATCTCCCTTTTGTGGTCTGCCACACTTGCCAACCCTTTAAAAGTCAAGTAACACCTTCTTGTGCCCCATAAAGAAAAGCATCCGCTAGGTCATCAGAATCTTCAGCAGTTGGATCCTGGCCCCAATTTCCTGAGAGCAAGTGGGTCAGAGGTGTGTGTGCAGCATCACTGAGGCCGGCACGCTGATCCCCAAGCACATTGAGGCCTGCAACAGTTGGGCGGGCAGGTGCTTGGGACAACATCGGTCAACATGGAGTTTTGCTGTGAAATGGAGCTCCACAGGCACACAGCTCTGGTTTTCCCCGGGGA